CCTAAGAGGGGAAAACCCTTAAAGTTATATATCTCCGCTTCAGATAAATCACTTGGGAGTTTGCTGGCTCAAAATAATGAAGGCGGGAAAGAGTAGGCAGTATACTACCTTAGTAGAATTCTGACCAAGGTAGAAACAAGGTATTCCCCAGTAGAGAAATTGTGCTTGGCTCTGTATTTTACTGCCAATAAGCTGAGGCATTACATGTTACCTTGTCACGTGCACATCATCGCCAAGACAAATGTGATAAAGTACATGTTGTCAAAGCCAATGTTAACAGGAAGGATTGGGAAATTGATTCTAGCATTATCTGAATTCAACTTCCAGTATGTCCCCCAAAGGGCAGTAGAAGGCCAAGCAATTGCTGACTTCTTGACGGAGCATCAAGAAACTCGAGATGAGATAATCAATATACCGGGAACCTTGGAAGTTACTAATGTTTGGATCCCGCCAGGCAAAGGGATCTCGGGCAAAGAATAGTGGATCCAGCAGGAGATAAGAAGAGTGGCTGGTTTATGGATTACTCCTTGGAAGCTGTATTTCGATGGTTCTTATACTCAGAAGGCTTCAGGAGCTGGGATTGTGATTATCAACCCTCAAGGGATTTATCATTATTACTCATTTCTCTTGGATTATCAAGGGAATACCAATAATCGGGCAGAGTATGAGACCTTAATAATTGGTTTGGAAATCTTGATGGATCTGGGGGCAATGGAAGTTGAGGTGTTCGGTGATTCAGAATTGGTACTAAACCAACTAAAAGGGGAGTTCAAGTGCAGACATATCACCATGGCCGGATACTATTTGGCGGCCACATAATTGTTGAGTTATTGGGATTCTGATATATTGGTGAGTCATGTTCCCAGGGGAGCCAACCTAGCAGCTAATGAGATGGCGCAATTGGCCTCAGACATGCCAATACAGGAAAAAAGATATGGGTTGGATGTCGAGATTCAAAGGAGAAATCTTCCTTCTATCCTGGAAAGGGGATTCAGCTTGGATGTAGTGGTTCAGGAAGCTGAGATAGAAGATTGGAGATCGCCCATCATCCATCATTTGAAAGACCCATTTTCACCCACCAGCAAGAAGAATAGACAGCAAGCAACTAAATATGTCTTATGGGCGAAAGACCTATTAAGAAAGACTCCAGACGGGTTACTACTGAAATGCTTAGGCCAAGAAGAGTCAATGAGAGTAATGGCCGAAGTACATGAATGAGTATGTGGAGCACATCAGACCGAAACAAAGATGAGGTGGTTGCTTAGGCGATATGGTTATTTTTGGCCCGACATGGAAAAGGATTGCAAATCCTATGCCCGAGGCTGTGAGGAGTGTCAAAGGCATGGTCATCTCCAACATGTGCCCTTAGTACCTTTGAATCCAGTAGTTAAGCCTTGGCCCTTCCGAGGATGGGCGATGGACTTCATCGGGCAGATTTACCCGGCCTCTAGTAAGGGGCACACTTTTATCATTGTAGCAACAGATTACTTTACCAAGTGGGTAGAGGCCTCGGCGGTGAAAACCATAACCTCAGCTGCGGTCAAACATTTTATCGAGACCAAGATTCTGCATAGATTTGGGGTGCCTGAAACCATAGTGACGGATCGAGGGCCATCTTTTATTTCAAAAGAAGTCGAAGAATTTGCAAGCAAATACAAAATAAAGATGATCCGGTCCAGTCCTTATTACCCGCAGTCAAATGGCCAGGCAGAATCCGGCAACAAGATTTTGGTAAACATTATTAAAAGAATGGTGATAGATAGTCCAGAAAAATGGCATGAAAAGCTGGGGAATACTCTGTGGGCATACAGGACTTCCAAGAGGGCAGGTACAGGGACAACTCCTTATGCTCTAACCTTCGGGCAAGATGCAGTGCTTCCCATGGAGATCAATGTGAGTTCTGTCAGAATTCAAAATCAGTTTGGGTTACACAGCGAAGAATACATCGAAGCCATGCGTCAAGGGATTGAAGACTTAGATGCAGCCCAAATTGAAGCTCTGAACTAGATTCAGGAAGGAAAGAAGGTTGTTGCCCAAGCATATAACAAAAGGGTGAAAGCAAAATCTTATAAGGAAGGAGATTTGGTGTGGAAGACAGTTCTTCCTATTAGAGCTCAGCTTAGGGGCTTTGGAAAGTGGAGCCCGACGTGGGAAGGTCCTTTCATAGTTAGTCAAGTCTTAGACAAAGGGGGGTACTACTTGGCGGACCTCGAAGGGAATTGGCAGAAACATCCCATTAATGTTAAATTCTTGAAAAAATATTGTCCTACATTATGGGATGTTAGAGATTGTTACATTGAGGAGGATGCAAGGTAAAACAGATTTCGGGATATCAAGGTGCAGTGTATGATCACCAACCATTCAAAAGAAGACAGAAAACAAAAGTTACTAAGATAATGTTTATTTTATTTCGACAAATTTGTGATATTTACAAACTGATCCAAGTCCGAAGTACTACATTCGATTCATTCTGGATACAATGTTATTTTCAGCTGGTTTTCGGATGTCTTCCTGGATAGGACTCGATCAGGTGATCGGGTTGTGTGGCTAAGACGCGCCTGGTAGGGGATCCTCAGGCAGAGTTACCATCATGTGTGATGGTGAAGCCTGATTTATCACGACAGCAAGCAGGAAGGCAAGCCGTCGTGAGGAAATCGCCTGACCAAGGGTGTTGGAGATAGCGGGGTGTTTGACCAAAGGTGTTGGAGATAGTAGTTATCTGATGAGAACTTTTTTTCTCACGAAAAGAGAGTTTTAAGAAACCCCACTTAAACTCTGAAGAACTCATTTCACAATTAAGGAAGCAGAAACACCTGGGGCGGGTAAAAAATGAGATCGAGGATGATTTGTAGGGAGAACAAGAATTTATAGGAATGACAGAAGGTAGTTCAAGGGTCGTGGGAAGATCGAGAGACTCCGGGTGGCGTTAATCTCCACCAGAAGATACAAGTTCCAAGAGCAAGGGTGCAGACGCATGCAGCTTTTCAATTAATATTGGCGCCTGGAATTCCAGTCTGAATATCAATTGAAGGGGGCACTGTTTGGATCAAAACTTAAACTTTGGGCTCGGGGGAAGTTGGCCCAAAGAGCAGCCTAAAAGGAAGAAGCCCAGTCAAGGCCAGCCGAAGTCCAGAAGACAGGAGAAGCCCGTTTCTGACTAGGTGCAGGCCATGCAGACTACTTGCTCACCTACCCAATGGCCAAGTGGTATAGACCAGCCAACTAATCAGCCCAAAAAGTACTTTTTAATGGCAGTACAAGTAAATAGCTGATGAGTCACTATCCTTCAAACTACATTCGGGCAAGATTATTGCTACAGGAGGCCAAACCAAGTTGTCTATAAAAAGAGAAAGAGAAGTCAGAATCAAGGACACTCAAACAAACAAACAAAGACACTCAAACAAACAAACAAAAGCACAAACTCTGCTCAAAAGCCAGATTTGCCTTCAAAACGAAGCTGTAGTCAGCGCAAGCCTTCATCCCTTTCGGGATAAACCCTTTGTAATAGCTCTGCTACCCTGCTCAAAGCCTGCTGTATTATCGATTTTCTTTCTGCAAACTCATTTCCCAACCCCTTTTCTAAAGCCTTCAAACCTTCTGTTAACCCACAAAGATAGGAAGTTGCAAGACGATCAGCCTTGCCCGACCTGCTTTGTTTTTGTCTTTTTCATTCATTAGCCTAGCAATATGTTGTATACTTCAAGTTGTATCCAAGTTATTTCTAGTAATATGGCTATTAAAAGACTCTCTCAGCGCTTGAATTTGATTCGAATATGTCTTCACAGTTCAAATTAGATTTAAGTTCTAAGCCTTCGGGCGTATAAGATTTGATCACCCTAAAAAGTCCTTGACCTCAAGGCATAAAAAAGAACCTGATGTGGACTTAACCCATCCACTGCAAGCTTTGATAACAAGAGGTTTGAAGTTACTTGGGGTGCAAGTAATCAACATGCCACTTGGTTTTATTTCTGTTATATTATGATGACCGTATAACGTTCGAGTACGGGATGAATTCTGATGGGAAGCCTCAAGGCCTATTCAAGGCCCCACAAAGGCACCTATTTGGATTCATCCTATTTCTCGGGCAAGAACATTGAGTATAGAAGGGGTTCTGATGGGAAGCCTCAAAGCCTATTCAAGGCCCCCACAAAGGCACTTATTTGGATCCATTCTGCTCTTTGAGCTCAGGTAATCAGAAGTATAATAGTTATAAGACCCATATAACTCACAAAAGGAACCTTATGTGTTTGAGTACTAAGTTAGTTATTTATGGGAAGCCTCAAGGCCTACACCTAAGGCCCCACAAAGGCACCTGTCAATAACTAACATAGTCTCTCGAATATATATGATTAAAACTCAAAACATCCGTTCTACATCTACCATGCTGAAGATGGTAGTGGCACGCCTGAGCAATTCCAAGTTAATCTTGATCATGAACCTCAAGGCCTACATTCAAGGCCCCATAAAGGCACCTTTCAAAGTTAACTATGTCCTTCTCTTTCAGCCTTGCCCGACAAGCCTTGCCTGACAAGTCCGCCAATAAAGCAGGAGCCCGACAGAAAGCATCAACCGGCGCCAATCTCTCGGGGAGGTGTGTGCTCGTCGGCCAGGAAGCATTCCCCACGGAAATTCCCGCCACGAACAGGAGCAAATTAGCATGTTTTAAAAGGTCATAAGTTGAGGGGACATTGCGATGTTTATCCTAAGTCTAAATTTGGGTTGGGTTGGGTTGGATTAGTCGCCACCCCTTTCTGAAGCCTTTCAACATAAGCAGTTCATTTCCAACTACATGAATTAATACTAACTACTACTCGCATGCGAGTGGTCTAATGTTCGACTCATATGGATGTAGATGATGTATATTATCTGTGTTGAGTTCGATAGCTAGTTATGATTGGCCCATTGTGTGACTCGTACCAGGAAAAATAAAAGAAAACGAACCTTAATAATTATGATGCAGGGATTAAATAACAACACTAATAATTAGAATAAACCAGAGATCTTCTAATCAACAAATATTTCAAAACCTTGAACTGAAGTAATTTATGTTACAAATAATTCACAATAAGTAGAAACATACATGAAGAAAATGGAGCTTTTATTCAGAATATAAGACCGTCGGACTAAATATTAATAGAATTCCTCTGCAGAACGGAGCAGCACGACCAGAATCACACATCCTAAAGCACAAACATATAAAACTAGCATCCGAATCAGAAAATGATGTCGTCATCCTTTTCCGCAGACAACAAGTTCTGAGCTGAATGTAGGGAAATGCCCTTCTTCAGCGATAACTTTTCCGCAACCTGCTCGTTGGCAAAATTCCTGGCAGCTGCCATCTGTCTCTCGATTTCCCTCTTCTTATAACCCTGTATCTTCTTTAACCTGAAGAAATCCTCTCTTTCGAGCTCATCCAGCTCCCCCTTGATATAGCTTATTGTGTTCTCCAACCTAGGCTTCACAACATTCTCTAGGGCATTGACACGACGATTTGTGGTCTTGATTGCTTCATCAAGGGTTAAAAATGATGTTTGAAGTGAAGCAAGCTCCACGAGAACCTCAATTGCTTTCACATAAGCAGCACGACAGAGTTGGACCTGTTGTCCGCCTCTTGCCAATCCAGTGAGGTCATTCTTGGTCTCACCTTCAGTAAAGTATTCAAACTTTGGGAGCTTTACACCAGCAACATTCTCTTGCCTTGATCGAACTTTAATAGAGGCATTGTGGACATTCTCAAGAACAATGTGCTTGATGTTCTCGCCAGCAACATACTTGGCTTCAGTAAGGGCAAAGGAGGAGTTCTTCATCACATCTCCCATGGATTCTTTGGTTGCGACAATATTTTTAAGAATCTGACGGAACTGCACTGTTAAAGCATCGCTCTTCTTCTTGAGGAGAGCATGACCTCTTGTCGCACCTACAAGGCGAGCTTTCATAACTCCAAGCATTGTAACGGTAGGAACCACATTCAAGCGTTGGCTTTGGCCCGACATGTTTTCAAAGATCTAAACCAAGAATGAAAATACATAATCAGGGTTTAGTATTTAAAAACAAAAAATTCAGCTATGCAAATGAACACGTAAGGATACACAACAAGAATATTATCATCAAACTTTCTTAGATTATAAGAAATGAATTAACAACAGCAACACAAACAAATCTCTGAACGTCAAATCTATTTTGAAGAACTTAACATTGCTAAAAGATGAAGCGAAACATATCAAAACCAAAAAGCCTTTCACATTCTACTAGGAAAATATACAACTTGTCTTCCCATGTATCCATTAAAATGACTTGCATCTTCTTGTTTCAAAGGGTTCCTCACACCTGACAGGTAGTGACCACGACTTATATTGATAGGTTTTGCCTTAAACTCTCTTCATATTCCTTCTACACCTCAATGTCCCATCATCCTCCAATACATTTATATAAAAACCTTGGAAAAACTTTAATCTCCTCTAAGAAAAGAATTTATCGAAATACATAACCTCTACTCTGCACAACGTCAGTAAACTAAAGCTTGCTGGGAATCGAAAGCTAGTATCATATGATAAGATCCTTATCACTCAAATTTCTACAGCATTACCCCTAATTATGGTAGAAACTTAACAGATCAAGAAGGAAACAAAACCTAGAGTAACATTCCAGAGAAATAGATCCACCAAAACGTAACTCGAAACTCAAAAGAGCAACCAAACGAGGGCTACACGGAAACAAATCAGTCTAAAAGGCTTGAAAACCAAAGCATTCAACATTTAACTGAAACTACAACGAGCTCATTATGCGTGGCAGTAGATTGCCGAGCAGAGTGACTAGTGAGGGAATCACAGAAAAATTCAGGGAGAAGAGAAGGGCTAGAGTGAATTAGAAATTATAAAGCCATCAACCTATGATCAATCAATCCCAATCAACTCAAACTTTCTTCATGATTTGATCACAATCCCCTGATTCTATGTGTACCCAGATGCTAAAAATTGGGATCACATTCAAATTTCTGATCGTGCAATACAAAAATTCCAAAATCCAAGACTTTCAATTTGGGTTCTGCACTTAAAATTTCAAAATTGTCTCAGCAAACAAACACAATCAAACAATTAAGCACCGTAGATCCAAATCGGAGTAAAAGTAACAACGAACAATAGAGAACAGGAGGAAAGTTGCAAGCATAAAGATCAGAAATTGGACCTGGTGTGATTGGCTTCAGCTAATGGCGCCGGACCGGAAATTCGCCGCCGGTGAGTGGAAGAAAGAGAGGTGTACGGAGCGAGCGGCTGATGGATTTTTGGGTGTGTGACGTACGTCTCTGTGTGTGTGTGTCTGCGTGCGAAACTTCTCTTCTCTGATATTAATATCCGGATCCAATCGTATTCGGGTTAATAATGGAGTCCGCTTCCACTTTATCCGGGTTTTGCCAAAAGTGATAGCCCGCTAGAAGTATGTCTCCCGCTTTAATTAGGAAGTATCCTTGTAATAGAAGCGTGTGGATTTAATGCTACGTAAAATCGAGTGTGACGGGTGTTTGGTGCTAAGATTTAAAGAAAAATTAGAGAATAAGATCAACTACAACTTTATGCCTCATTCCGCGATACAAATTTTAGGATTTGGATCCTCGCCGGATCCTCTTCTTAGAGATTTTAGGGATTAACGAACATAGACCATTGATCAAAAATCATGCGGCCACAATTTTTTTTTTTTTTTAAATTTTTCATACAAAACAATACTGCTTTACTTTTAAAAATATAAAAAGCATTTAATTAGCACCGCATGATTTTTTATCAACGGTCCGTGTTTGTTGATCCTTAGGATCCTCAGAGAGGGGATCCCGACGAGGATCCAAATCCCAAATTTTAGACACATTTAACTGTTGCAAAATTTGTTAGATCCTTATAGCATTATTGATTTTCTAGACCACGCATTGTTTTAGCGGCGAAATTTTGTTGGGAGTAGTTTCTTGTTGCGGGTTGATAATTTTTGTGCCACGACACCCTCGTCGAAAATCTTATGCTTTTTCGACCAAAAGAAAAAAGATCATCGTTATGTAACATCACAAAGTAACAATCTACAACATAAAGGTAGTTCAGTAGCATCGACGCCTTTTGTGATAGAGTGATGCTAAATTACATTTAGTAGTTGGTAAACTCTAATTAGTTGCACAACAATTGGTATCCCGGCCTAAATTCGAATGCAATGCATGGAGTTAAAGAAACCAAACGTGCATGTTACATTTTCCCGTCGCATTTTCTGACCCGAAAAAGAACGAACAGAAACACAAAATGGTTAAAACAACTTGTTACAAAGACATAAGACAATACTGAGCTGAAATCGTAAATAAAATTAAACCAGATGACCGACTGAAAATTTCAGAATACATTTCGAATACAACAAAGTGTGCTTATTGTTCTTATTTTCGCTAAATAACGCCAAACCTAAAAGCCCCGCAACTCTTCTGCTTTTACTGAAGGCACCACAATTTTATGCAGAAAGATGAACAGAACAGATACTTCTTTCTCCCTACAGTTTCTTAATTTATTTTCATTTTCTGTGATGTTGCAAACAATTCTGAATGAGTGACTAAACTCCAGATCCAGCCAGCCGACGCCTAGAGGCATTTGATACAGAAACCTGAGAGAGCTTGTCTGCATCACTCGTTACTATGCGTTCTCTTGGTGGGATATAGTGGCGCAGCCAGTTTCCAGTATACACCTGATTAATCACAATGATTAGCAAAAATAAGAAACGGGGTGACCACTGACCAGACGCACATCACCATTTTAATTTTCTAGACCACAAAAGACGTGGAATTGTGTCTTACTCAATCCAATAGAAACACCACAAATTCCACATAAACAAGCAAACGGTATGAGCAAGGAACTAACCTGTTGGGGTCTCATGATCTTAGTATCAGGATCATCAAGGGATTCGCGCCAGTGTGCCAACCACCCAGCCATTCGAGGGATCGCGAACAAAACCGGGAAGAACTCAGTTGGAAATCCCATTGCCCTGATTAATATGAAGTTAATACATCTTCACAGTTGCAAGATAGGCAAAGTAAAAATCAGTGTGACATCAAATGAAAAGTAATGAGAAGTACCTATAAATTAAACCGGAGTAGAAATCAACATTTGGATAGAGCTTTCTCTTGACAAAATACTCGTCAGAAAGTGCAGCCTTCTCCAAAGCAACAGCTACCTGCAAATGTCGGGTAGATGCACTCAAACTTAAAAATTGCACTTTCCAAATTTGTGTTTATTCCTTCCTAATTTTTGGGTGTTTCTTTTTTTGGGGGTGAAGAGGGGGAGCATTTAATAGTGAGATTAGAAATGCACCTCAATCAGAGGATCCCTTCCAACAATGGAAAATACTTCCTCTGCCAGTTTCCTTATGACCTTTGCTCTAGGATCATAGTTTTTGTACACACGATGCCCAAAACCTGACATCTTTCGCTTCCTGAAGCGAGAACCAGAAAATACAGTTTGATAAATAACTGTTTCAATATGAATCATGTTCACCAGACTGTGTGAACTACTAAGATATAAGAAATTAAATACCTGTTCTTCACACCCTCTATGAAATCTGGAATGTTCTCAACAGTTCCAATCTCATTTAGCATCTTAAGCACAGCCTGCAATAATCCAGGCAGCAACAAAAAAGAAACTTTATTTACAAAATTAAACATGAGAATATTAATGAATAAAAATCTCATTTCAAATCGAAAGTGATCTTCCAGTTGTTTGCATGAAAAATGCATGAAAAATGAACATAAAAATGGGAACATGAACTATTGCAATACCTCATTTGCTCCACCATGAAGAGGGCCATAGAGAGCTCCTGTAGCTCCAGCAAGAGCAGTGTAAACATCGACACCGCTGTACATAAAGAGCCAGACACGTTATAAAATGCCATTGGTTCATTTCAATCAGGTTACAAGATATGCCTACCTTGATGCCAGATGCCGGGCAGCAGCTGTGGAGCAATTCATCTCATGTTCTGCATGCAATATGAAGAGAACATCTAGCACTCGAGCCAGTCGAGGATTGGGTTTGTAAGATCTATTGCCTCTGTAGATTCGCACGGAGAAATGCTTAATCAGATTAGAGGGTGACCAAATATCATATTTTCCACAATGATTATCACTCTACATATTAAAACAAAAGAAGACCTAAGTGCACAGTAAAAGCAACATCAGTGGTGATGGCAAAAAGATTGCCAAATATGATTTAGAAAGTTATGCAGTAAAATGCATACAAAGAGTAAAAGTATAACATACAAGGAATCTAGCATGTATAAGAAGTTCTCCGAATACGAAAGGTTGTTAGCAGGGAGAACTGCAGGTCTTCCAGCCAATCGCAAATAAGCTGCAGCTGCAATGGTTGGTGCCTGAAAATGAAATAACAATTTAATATAACCTTAACCAGAAGATTCCAAATAAGTGATAAGTGATGCAGAAGCAAGACAATAGCTATAGACTGGAGATATAGGTGGGGGTTATATAGGTGGGGGTTAAAGCCTCTGTTGGTTTTTTGGGGATTGGATTAGTACCCCAATTAATTTTATAGGCCTACCAAATTCTGAAAAATGGGTCCTTGTGTGGTAGGAGAAGGTAAGGGATGCTGCCACTGGATAGCGGCAGAGGCTGGGGTTACTGAGGCTATATGTTTGGAGTGTATCGATCAAAATTTGAAAGAGGAGGGAAGGCAACACAAATGCTTTGTACAGAGCTACATTAGTTGGACAACCTAAAGAATGGCAGCATAGATAACATTCACACCACATTTTCTAAGGCTACAAGTCCCAAGTAAAGAACAAGATCAAACATACCTTCCCAAGGATGCGTGCTATTTGCTTGTCTCTCACTTGTTTTGATTTGTAAATTTCTTGCCCCTATGTTAACATAAAATATGATCAGATATGATACAATCAAATAATGCATCAAACAATGGACCCCTTTAGTAAATAAGATTGTGACAAAATTCATGTCGTTCACAGAGCCAACAAGAATAAACTTACACGAAGAGCAGGATTAGCATCAGGATGGAAAACAGAAAGCGCACTCATGGCACTGACAAGTACGCCCATTGGATGTGCATCATGAGGTATTGCCTGTATAATGTCCTACAATACAAAAGACACCATCGTGTAAATGCTCAAAGCAACAACAAAACAAATACTTGTGCATTTCTGCAAGGCAAAAGAACCTCCATGAGTCCAGAGGACCAGAGAGTATGTATTTGTCGCACGGTTGTTTAAAAGATACATAAAAAATCCCTAGATTCCCTACTATATGAAGAAAAAGATGATATGTAGTTAATCACATGTCAAATTCCAATATTTTGATCCAAGGGATAGTCAAAGGATTTCTATAAGAATAACAAATAGAAAATTTACCAAAATTCCCTGTGGTACAGCTGAATGCTGAGAAACGGCAAATTCCCAATCCACATATTGACTTTCAGAAGGCAAATTCCCATACACTGGAGGAGAAAAGGGTTAATGACAAAGCAACGTAGTTCAAAATCGGAAACTGAAATTAAAGATGACAAAGACACTTCACAGCAAGAAACGCATGGAGAGACTACACCTAATCCTGAATACTTCTTGATAATTCAGGGGTACATTTCGGGAACCAGCTCATTTCTATAGTAATTAATTATGCCCTCAAACATTTTAAGTTATATAAATTCTTCACATAGTTGTCAATGTAATAGTATATCTTCCTTTCGAACATGAAAATTTCACTTAAAATACATATAATTAAGAAAAATAAACCATTCCTTGCGTTGCTATTTCTAAGAGAGAGTACTTACTCAAGAGATAGGCCACTTCCAAAAAGGTACTACTCTCAGCCAATTCCTCTATTGGGTAGCCTCTGTATCTAAGAATCCCCTCGTCGCCATCGATATAACAAATCGAGGATCGAACAGGGGCGGTATTAAGATAGCCTGGATCATACACCTTCAGCCCCTTGTCATTTTTGCCTGTTGTGATCTGCATATTTCACAAGAACCAAATTTTCTTCAACTAATTTAATCAAATTTCAAACACAAGAATCCCCATCATAAAAATTTCCACTTTCATTCTATTTATTTGCAATTTTCCAAGCAACCAAACATAAAATGCACTATCGAACAGCAAAATATTTTAAAAAATCCAATACCCAGAATAGCAAATTGAGTGATAAGTTAAAAAGATTCTACCTTCTTGAGATCAGTGGCTTTGACGGTTCCTTCCTCAGAGACCTGGACCTGATACCTCTTACCGGTCCTCTCGTCGACGATGGTCAAAGGTCCCCGAAGGTTCCCGGGCGGTGGGACGTGAGCGGACGCGCAGTGGGGCTCGAGAGCGGGT